GTGAATTACTTTTAAAGTTGGATGATGATGATCGAGAAGCAAACCGTGAATCCAGGTTTGATGTTGTTTCCATCTTATATTCCTAGTATTAGAAATTAATTAAGTAATTTTTCTAAAACATTCTGTGTAGTTTTTAAGGAGCAGTTCAACATTGGACAGTCTGCTGAAAGATGTGAGAGAATTAACCACAAATTTAAACGAATTAAATGAATTAGAAGATAAATGGGAGATGATGAAGGAGGTTTGGCTAGAGATGCTTCTCTATGCAGCTTTTTCAAGCAGCAACACTAGCCATGTTAAGCAGCTGGGGGAAGGTGGGGAATTCCTCTCACTTCTATGGCTTCTTGGTGGCATGATGGTGGCGTTTAAAATTAGTGGTTCATGAATTTCAAATTTTCTCCTTTCATAATTTTTCTTTTTTTTTTTTTAATTTTTATTTTGACAGATTTTTTTATTTGCTTCAATCTTTCCAAGTTATTTCAATGTTAGTATTGTTTCTTCAGTGTTTGTAAATCTTATGCGAATTCTATTCCACTTTTTGATTGGGAAACTTTTGTATGCATACCTTTAATAAAAGGCACATCTCAAATCCTTGAGTTTTCTACTCAATTTACATGGTATTAAATCAATTTTAAAATTCTATATATTCAATTACAAAAGGTCAATTAAAAAACAAAACACCAATTCTTCCACTGTTAAAAACTTCAATGATCCATACATGCTACCTCCTTTCCTTTTATAATACATACTTACTCCTTTCATAACTTTTTTAACATTTTCTCGCGTGGAGGTATTGTTTTTCATCGTCAAAAACAATTATCTAATGCTGTTTATTTTAATAAGCTGAAGGGTCTATGGGTCTATGAGATTAGGGACAAAACTTGGTATAGGCCAGGGGCATGCCCCCCATCCCTAGAGAAAGTTTCCATTTTTTTCTCCTATACGGCCACCTGGTCGAAAAAATTCAACATGCCCTGTTGCCCACATCATAGCCCAATCCATTATTTTAGTTTCTGTTAAAAACAAACCCAATCCATTAAGTTCCCGTTCGAGTCAAACCCAATGAAGAGTAAAGATCTAGTAAAAACCGAAAAACTTAAATGGACCGAACTGCAGTTAAACCCATTAGAGCCCATGAGAAAAACCCTAATTAAACCTCTGAAACTTTTCTACTCGACCCAGACCTACCGGCGACCAACACCATCTTCTCCAGCATTGAACCACCCAATTTCGACTGTCCAACAAAACTTGCAGTCATCGAACTTATTTCTCTAATACTGAAGCTCTAGGCAACATTGTAGAGAATAGAGATGCCTTCAAAGGCAAAGAAGCAATCAAAGACACCTTCCCGCCAAGTTATGATCCATCAGCTTCGCCACGAACACCGTCGGTGATATCTTTGGCGTCAGAAGTTAGTGAAGAAGATCTCAGGCGCTCCCTTGAAGAGGCTTCTAGCCGGCTTCCTTCTCTCACTGGGAAATCTGCTTTCATTGGGCGTGTCAATGATGTTGATTCAGAATCCAAAGCAAGGCTTTAAAATTTGGCTTCTAAAATTTCCGTGGTCGCTAGCTGCTTCCCTTACACCCGGCTCTACTATGTCTGTAATTACAGTCCTCGTCTTGATGTTGAAATGTAAAATTTCAACTTTTCTTAAATTTATGCTGCTGATGTATCCTTCTTATCTTTTTCTTAGGTCTCACTTCCTGCTTTGGACAATAAAATTTCAGACAGCTTCTCACTCAGCTCATTTGCAGATAATTTATCAGACCAAACCAAAATGGACGGTGGAAACTACTTTGCTCTGGCTGCTGTTTTTCCTTCTTGAAAGATCTAACTGACCTATTGCCCAAAGTTGCATATTAGTTTTATGGATTCTAACTCTGGAGTTTACATGATTTGGCCTTTTTGTTTTTAATCAGCTCCTTTTGTAACTTCCTATTCTTTCATTTTCAGGCAGATTTGTTTGTTTGCCTTGTCAATTCAATACTGATTTATAAATGGAAGAGAAAAACCACATTACAGTAAAGTTAATTGCCTCTCACTAAGTTTCAAAAAACTGGTTTTGTGTAGGTAAATGATTTGGTGTGTATCGCAAATAGAGTATACACTCATCAATAGATACTGGACTGGGAGAAAACGGTTAAATATAATAAATAGTTTATTAATTATATGGTTTATTTTAATTTAGTTTAGAAATAACTTTTTTTAAATGATTTATAAATTATTAATTTTGTTTCAAAATAATCTACTTAACAAACATTCCATTAATTGATTAATAGAATTTTTTTTAATAGTTGATAAGCTACCCTTAAACTTTTGAAAAATGTTAAATTTAGTATATATATTTTTGTTTTTTTTTGGTAATATTTTGTTTTTGAA